TCCCGGGCTTCATTTGCAAGTGCGGTATGTCTACACTACCCTCCTAGTTCGAACTAGGAGGGTAGTGTAGACATACCCTGAAAGAAATGTTGGGATTTCTATAAAGTTGCACATTCTTGGGCAGCAGTTTCAAACTCACATTTTCTAATGCTACATACACACACACACATACACTACAATTTAGTCACAACTCTAGTCAACACCCAATGGCAGAGAGAAAACACCTCTCTTCCTATGTTGCTCCACTCACTGATAGCACTGAATTCTACATATGCTGCTGTCATCACATTCTGCACTCATCCTGTTGCTAAGGGCCATTCTATGTCATAGTCTATAACTCACAGAATCTGAAGGCAGAACAGAGTGGGTTGAGCTTTCCTTAGGCACAATCAGCCTTTTAACTGAGGAGTGCCAGTTTGACAGTCATTTCTATGTTGATTGTTTCCATAAGAGCGTAGGTGGCTAAAACCTTACAGCTGAATGTCATTTGTAAAGGGATGGGTTGACAAGGGTAAGCTGAAGTGATAGACTACAGCTGATACTGGAATCGGTCAAATAGTAAGTTCCAGTTGGGAGCTCTCACCTTAGACAAGCTGGCATTTAAAAAATTCAATAGGCCTAAAAATTTGTCCCATAGCTCCTATTTTGTGGCTTATAAGAAAAATCTGAATCTTGAAGTGTAACAGCGAGAGGAGTCCTCTTCCTGGTATAGCAAACTACTCTGTAAACCATAGGTTAAAAAATCTGAATCTTGAAGTGTAACAGCGAGAGGTGTCCTCTTCCCGGTATAGTAAACTATTCTGTAAACCATAGGTTACTAACAAGTGCTATTTTAACCTTATTTCAGTATAAACAAAACTGGGAGTAAAGGGTAGTGATGAAAATGTTGGCAAAGTTGGCAAAGTGCCTTAGTTATATTGAGCTAGAAGTTTATATATTAAACCACAAATGGAGTGGAACCTGTGACAGCCTTCAGTTCTGTAGGATCATGGGATAAGGTATTGTTAAGTGATTCTTACAAATGATATTTCTGAGTGATAGACACTGACTGTTCATTGGGCTTTAATTCAGTCCAAATTTGCATTATTGACAACTTTATTGTTTTCTGGCTACTTTGTCAACAATGAGCCTGTGTTATTTAAATTAATACTGTCCTGGTTTTATGTAAAAGAAACCATAGGTAACTTTGGGATCTGTAGGAATAGGCAAACCAGCATTTATTCCAATTGATCTTGTTGGAGATCAGTGAGAATTCATTAAGCCATAAGGTAAAGTATGGGGAAGGGAGAGGCGTATTAAAAAGAAAAGTGAAGACTTGGGAAACTTTATTTTCTTTTGCCCAGAAAAGTGATTTCAGATCACTTTATCTTCCCCTGGGGCTTATACTGTTTCTAATCCAAACTGTGAATTTTTCAGTGTTCTCATTCCTCACAGTACATGTAGAAAGTACAATAGAGTATGGAGACCTTTTGAGGCTTATGGAACCCTTCTGAGGCAATGCAAGCTTGTTCCAAGTTTGCATGGAAGAGGGAAGGAGATGCTGACACTGATGGGGCAGAAGTAATCTCAGGGAAGTGGTACTTAGTGTACACTTGCTCTACTGACCCTGGTACAGGGACTGAGGTTGAGAATTCCATAAGTAACGAGGGCTAGAACTCACCCATCTTCTTAATGGTGAGATACAAATCTGGCTCTGGGTAGTTCCAAGATCTCCTCTCTCTCAGATCCTGGAGAACAAGGTGTGGGCTAGGAGCTGCAGTCCCCCTCACAGTAACCATATTTATAACCCTAATTCATGGTAAAACTTGCTGGGAAATAGGGTGTGTATAAAAACAGCATCCTCCCTGCAGATGAAAGAAATTTGGCAGCCCAGATAGTCTTAAGATTAAAGAAAGGAATAGGCCATTCAATATATATTCCTTATGGTGTCTAACTTTTGCAATCATTTTCCTTGTAACAAACTTTGGGGCAGAAACCTCTGAAAACTGTCTAAAACAGCTCTGGAGACTGTGTCATTTTTTATACCTTTATGGAATGTTTTTTTTTTTAAGTTACCCTTGTCAAGGACAATTTTTGATAGCATATTCTAAGAACTGACTCTTCGGGTGTAAAGGGATTTTGTAAGTGTACTATTGTCTGGGTTTGAGCTGACACATTTTCTACATTTAAACTGTGATTCTTACATAATCCAAATAGGCACATCTCCTTAAACTTATAACCTACTTTTCTGTAGGTAAAACTGGTTAGCATTGATGCAGCAGAAATAGCGGATGGAAATTCTTCTCTGGTTCTTGGACTAATATGGAATATAATCCTGTTTTTTCAGGTAAAACCATTTATATGCTATCATCACAAGAGAACTACTTCCATAAAATATGTTCAGTTCTAGCAGAATATTAATCTAGAGCCATAAAGACCAGAAATAAAGCACAGGGGGACAGTTTCCCTTCTAACTTACATCAGTTTTATATCTGTATCTCAAGTGTGATTTAGAGGTATCACCTGTCATAGTAGACTACAAGTCTAGGAGCCCAACTTCATCCTCCAAGATGTACCATGGTCTCTCCCTGTGGCTGAACATTATGGAGTCCATTGCGGGGAGGAACTGGGTATGACAGAAGATGTAGCCTAACCAGGGAGCAGGGCCCAGAGGAGTGAATGGGGATTGAGGGACCTAGAACCGTGAAGCAAAACAGTGGCTATACTCCAGGCATATACCATCACTGTAGGATCGGCACCACTCTGAGTGATAGTAGCTAGGTCAAAGAAACTTTCTTCCATCGACCTAGTCAGGTTTATAGCCGGAATTAGATTGACATAGCTGCAATGCTCAGTGTTGTGATTCACACCCCTAAAGGATGTAGCTATGCTGATCTAAATGTTTAGTGTTGACCACATCTAAGGCAGATGGCAAAGTTAAACACTTTGAAATTAAACACTTTGTTCTGCTTGTGTGATGATCCCTGTGTATAGTGTACTTCAAATTCTCTGTCTGCTCTTCTCAACAGACAATTCTACCAAAACCTTTTCCAACAGAAATCTTTGATTTAATGAAAACCCACTTTCCCATGGGACAGATTTTTCTTGTTCTAAAAATTTCAACCAGGACTGTAAACTAGGGATGTTAAAATGTGTGTTAAGTAACCCTGTAATCACTGAAAATTTTTAGAGGTTAAACGTGGGACCGCTCTCTGGACATATCCACTCCTACCTGATGCTTCTGTATCAGAGGCAGCAGGGTGTGGCGGCAGGTGGCTGCCCAGACAGCAGGTGCGAACAGGGAGCTGGCTTTTAAAATGGCTCCCTGTGTGAACCAGGAGCCTGCATGTAACCTTGAACGTTAACCGAGGAGCCCAGGCTCATTGATTAACCGTTCACACAATTACATTTTCACATCCCTACAGTAAACTAATCTCTATATCCTTGCCAGTTCTGAGTCCTGTGTAATCTTGAAAGCTCGTCTCTTGGACCAACAGAAGTTGGTCAGATAAAAGAAACTACCTCACTCACTTTGTCTCTAATACCAACATGGCTACAAAAACACAGCATATATCCTTGCCCATCAGTGTGCTGAGACTGTGCTAGCAAGGGCGCTGCTAGTGAGGTCTGTTCTGTTAGGTCTGTTGCTGAATTCTTTAGAGCACAGGCCTATAATTAGATTGCTAGCTGAATTTTAAGGAAACAAAAGAGTTACTTTTCCTGACAGCAATTTAGGGATGGTTGAATGTCTGTATCAAATTGAAGTACCTTGTGTTTCACTTTCTTCAATACAGATTAAAGAACTGACAGGCAACCTCAATAGGAACTCCTCCTCTTCCAGCCTGTCATCTGGGCCCAGTGGGGCTGACTCTGACACCTCTCACCCGAGCACTCCTAATATAGAGAGAGGCATGTCTGTTTCAGTGAAGGATCAGCGGAAAGCAATCAGAGTCCTTTTAACCTGGGTTCAAAGGAAAACCAGAAAGTAAGCCAAGCTCTTCTTGCTAGCTTAGAAAAGTCTCCATTTTACCAGCTACAAATGGGTTTGTTTCTGAGGTTAAAACCAATTTCCCTTTGCAGTCCTTGGGAGGAATCGATGATGATACCACATACTGTAGGATCTTCCTTGTTTTAGAGTGAGCAATTTATATTTTTGCATATTTTGGGTGAGCTCCTCAAGTGGTTTAAATTAATTGACTTAAACTGGCAGAATATGAAGCCCTATATCTTCCTTATTTCACATAGGGAAGGATTAGGATGTTATGGGGCCCTGGACCAAAGCAAATGGGGGCCCTTTGCCACTCCTTCCACCTGCCATTTCCCCACCCACTGTTTGGTCTCTTTGGATTTTTCATATTGCCCCACTGAATCATAAAGAAATAGTGAAATAAAAGCCAGAGTTTATATAAGGCACTTGGGTTAAAATTCACTTAACCAAATCAATGTATTAGGGATTGACATATACAAATCCTTGCTACACACAAGGGAATATTTGGATCCATGCAGCGGGGCTGACAGAATTGCAAGGCCCCTGGGTAAGGTGGGGAGGGAGCGCCACGCTCCCAGAACGGCTGGTGGTAGCTTGCTCTCCATGCTGTCAGGACCACGCTGCACCCAGCCAGCTGTTAGCCCCTCCTGAAGCATGCTGCTCAGGGCTCTGATGGCATTTTAAAGGGCCTGGGATGCTGGCTGCTGTGGCATTAGCAGTAGAGGCCAGAACCTCTCGCCCTTTTGAATTGCTGGGCTCTGGGGCAACAGCTCCCTTTGCCTCTGTCCCTGAAACAGCAGTCCTGGACCCACAATGCAAATTCAAAATTACAAGGTCAGTTCTAGAAATCTATTCTATTAGGCTACACCCATCCCAGTTAAACTTCTGTGAAGTCCGGGGAATTGAACTAGGGATGAGTTTGACCATTGTTACATAATCAGCTGCTGCCAAAGCAGACAGCAAAGGAAGGTTAAGTTAATAAAGATATCCCATCTCTGGAACTATAATGCTGATCAATATCATTGATAACTGTGGGTATTAATAAGGAAGTGACAACCCAGGCAATGATCTTTTCGGTGCAACTCAAAAATACAGTTTGGAAAGAAGTCTGTGGTTGGGAAATGAATTATTTAATAGCATCTATAGAAAGAAACAACAATAATAATGAAAACTTGGTTGTATCATTCTGACCATGAAACTTTTTGAACTCTACCTTTCTCGTATGTCATTGTAATTCTTGTAGAAACTCAAAAAAGTTGTCTTGTACATTGGATTTTTTTTGTATCCCACATGGCAAAAATTTCTGTATTTACGGGCAAGTGTGCACAAAATATGACTCATTAATAATAAGTTTTAACCTGCTTATGAGTTGGTTTTTTCCCCTTGCTATGGCATTAAAATACTATAGCAAGGCAAAATCAGTAATTAGTTAGACATTTAGTTTTGCAAATGTTAAACATGGTTGATAGGTATTTGTGGATTTTGTTTTTATTAAATACTTCCTACAAATAAGTTCATCTTAGCTATAGTCAAACTTTTGGCTCAACTTACAGTGAAACATGAATGCGTTTCCTACTGTCCTAATGCCAATAAACTCTCGTCTGTAATGACTTGTATGTGCCTTATTTTTAATTTAGATATGGTGTTGCAGTTCAAGATTTTACGAGCAGTTGGCGAAGTGGCCTTCCTTTCTTAGCTATAATAAAAGCAATAGATTCCAGCTTGGTAGACATGAAGCAAGCTTTGGAGAAATCAGCTCGGGAAAATTTGGAGGATGCTTTCAGCATAGCACAAAACAGTCTTGGTGTTCCTAGACTTCTGGAGCCAGAAGGTAATCCATTCACAGCCCCCTTCTTTGGCATATCTGTCAAATAATTAAAGACTTTTGACTCTTTATTTTTATTACAATAGTTCTCTGGCTTCAGTCAGTCTTGGGTCTTCATTGTTCTAGGTGCTGTACAAAAACAGTCTCTGTCTCAAAATACTTACAGTCTGTAAAGACAAAATGAGACAAGGGTGGGATAAATGGATCCAGCACACAAGCAAAATGATCAGGCAGATTGTAGACAAATGTTTTACTAACTCCAGTTATTTTTCTCTCTGGTCCTTTTTTTATAATTGTCCTGGCCTGTTCTCAAATTCCCTTTTTTCCCTTTTGCCTATTTTGAATGGTCTTTCATTTAATTTTCAATTTTCCTTGACTCTTCCTGTTTTTTCTATGGGAGTAAATAAAACTTCCGCTGTAATACCTGCCTCTCATCTCTCTGATTCAAGCCTACATTGATATAGGGCTTCAATCCCACAGTTAATGGCAAGTGGGAAAATGGCTGCACTTGTATGCAGCCCCATTTAGAGATAATGGAATATCCCTGGCTTTCCCTCTAGAAACAAGTCACTATCTGTCTCTCAACAAAACCACTAGCTGGTGAAACAGCAGTATTGATATGCTATGATGGGAATAGCCTGAAGAGGGTGACCTAGGGCTTGTTTGAATTTGGGGAAGGGGAAGAGCATAAAAGTGGAGGATGGAGGGATCCTCCGGATTCCATCAGCTATGAAGAGGATTCTGCCTTCTCTCTTGAAACATAAAATAACATAAATCTATAGCTTTTCATAAGAATCATAAAAATGGGATATGCTTATGAAGGCCCATTTCTATGCAGGGCTCTTTAAGTATTTAAGAGCCCAGGGCTTTGTGTTTTTTCTCCATAGATATAATGGTTGAATCACCTGATGAACAATCAATCGTGACATATGTGGCACAATTTGTGGAGCATTTCCAAGAGCTAGAAGGGGTACGTTTTTCTTTCAGGTAGCATTTTCATAATTTGTCATGGCCTCCTTGAGGAAGTCAGATATGTGTTCTAATTTTTACATTCAGAATTTATTGCAAACAATTTATCTCAAGAGGTGTAAAAGTATTACTGATTCCTATTGTGTTTGTCTGATCCGCCAATCTAGGTTTTAAATGGGAGCTATTAAAGAGCTTTGGACAAAATAAGAATCATTCCAAACATTAAACCCAAAGCTGTTTTACAAAGGTTAGAATCAGTTCAAATAAGTATTTCCCCCTTCCTTTCTCACCCCGAACCTTAATGGGCTTCATCCTTGTGCTAAAATCTACCCCAGGAGTTCACAGAGTTTGGCAGACTTTGTTAGGTTGGTTTCTGTCTTCAAATCCCATGAGATCTGAGCTCCAATGAGTGATGTTGTTTAAAAGATGTAGTCCAGATTCAAGACTGCAGAGGTGAATTCATGGTCCCACTGAAGTCAGCGGAAAAAACTTCAATTGATTTCAGTGGGGCCAGGATTTCACTATGAGTCTTACCTTTGATAAGGATCCGGTTTGGATTTTATAGGAAAGAGCTGATAGACTAGCAAACCTCACACAGAGAATGGAGATGGCCTTCTAGGGCTCTGGTAGATGAGTTAATTGTAGAACTAAGGAAAGATGATTCAAGGATGGGAAAAATTCAAATAGCTAAAAAGAATGAGAGTAAAAGAGAAACAGGAGACATATTTAGATCTGTATAAGCAGCCAGACATTTCAGGGCTTATTTGAACCTCAGGCCTCTCAAGGTTGGTTACCACTAATTTAAATTACACCTTTTTAGCATAAAAAATAGATTCCCAGGATGCCATTCACCACAAAAAAACAGGGATGATAGTTTTCTTCTTCTTGCTGAAGTAGTGTATAGATAAAAAAAAACAGCTCTTAAATGTTCAAATTACTTTGCTACTAGTTTTCTCCAGATTTTATATTAAATAGAGCCTCCAGTTGCATTATTTATGCTATCTGTGTTTTATAGCATCAGTTTTAAGATTCCTTAATTGTATTGATGAGTGGGGAAAACCCTTAATTTTCTTTCCTACTTTTCAGATAAAACTGCCCAGCTCAGATTCTAAATAAGAAAACCCTGACTAGTAAATCAATATGATCTATAGTAGATTTAGTGGACCTTCGAGTTGATTTTTTGTCCAGTTTCTGCATTTAATATATATTAAAAGCAGATACCCCTATAGCGGCCACATGAAGAGGTGAACTGAATTAATGATTGAAAATTGGAATCCCTCAAATTTTTGTCTAGCTATGCCAGTGATGTGCTGTGTGACCCTTGTACAGTTTAACATCTTTAATTCAGTATCCTGACTTACAAAATGGGACAATCATTACTTGATTAGTTCAGAGGATTACATAAGGGTTGATAAATCACTCATTTTATAAGAGTTTGAAAATATAAAGTGATATGTAAATTACCATTTAATGATATATCATCCTTTACAGGAAGATTTTTCAGATCCTGACAAGGAAATCCCAATTGAAACCACATATGTCCATATCAAAGATACACCTTCAGAACAAGAGAGTAAGATCTTGATATTGAATGAAAACGGAGAATGTGCATACACTGTTAACCATGAAAGGAGCCACTCTCCTCCTACAAAGGTTTGTGTCCATGATTTGCCCGAGGAACTCCAGTCAGAAAACGTACATGAAGAACTTACTGATAAATTGAATCAACCATTATCAGCTAATTCACAGGAAGTCTCAGAAGAGTCATTGGTTTTGTCGTCTGTGGAAGAACATCAGAGACCTACTTCTTTACAGATTACAGGGTCTGTCAGTTTTGAATCCAGTTCCTCTTGGGAAGTTCTTAGTGACAAACTGATTCAGAATGAAGGGAGCATATCAGATGATCAACTGAAAGAGAATGATGAACTTTCAGCAACTATTTTGACTGAGCAGAAAAATTCTGTTGATACAGTTGATTCAGAATCATCTTCTAAAGAAGAATTAACTATAAAGACGTCTCCTGAATGCAACAATGAAATTAAGGACTCACTAGTCAACAAAACATGTGATAGTTATCCTTTGAGACCATTATCTCAGATTTCAGATATACATGAAAAAGAGCCAACAAATCTAGTAGAAAACACTGAACCTATAATTTCAACTTTTCTACCAGAATATGCTTCCAAAGAAGAGGATATGCCTAAATACATTTTGCATCTACTAAATGAAGAAATATCTAAAAAACTTTCAGAAGGATATGAACATCCAAAACAACCACCTGTTTTTCACACACTACAAGACACCAATTGGTCATCCAAGGATTCTGATCTCAAAGGTCAAATGGAAATGTCTTTGTCCTGCAAATCTGAAAATTCAACGTCACCAGTTACAAAAAAATCTGAAAATCTTGAGATGCATAATGAAGATGAATCTTCAGCTAAAATGTCACCAAATTCTTCTAAAGTTTCTGTAATTCCCCATGATCTTTTCTACTACCCACATTACACTGTTCCTATATCAGCAGTTTTGGAAGCTTTTGCTGAGCCTAGACCTGCCTCTTACATTTCTGAAAATAGCAAAATCTGTGATGAGCTATCAGTGAATTACTTTCATGAAGGGGAGCCATTGGTACTAAACAGTGAAGGAGGTATTCTGGAGCTAGGTTTACAAACCAGCCTGAGTGTGTCTCCAGCACAAATGGAAGCTGAGGCCACGGAAGAGGAGAAAGTGGATCCAGACAGTCCCACTAAGTCCTTCTCTGAAAAAGTCCAGGATGTCCTAATAGAAGAGAATGTGGAACTCAAGGAAGACATCAGTATATGCACAAACTCTCAAGATTCTACAAATCCGGAAAATCCTGAGGTACTCCGCTTGATTTTTAAATTTCAGCCATTTACTTGGTTGTACAAAGTGGCCACAGCACCTTAATTTGCACTACAAGACTTTTGAATAACTGTATTATATAGGCTATGTTTGTTCTCCCATAATATTGTTTACCACTGCCCTCTGCTGCATGGAATGTTATATTGGCATGTGTGTAATAATGTTATTCTCATAACAGCTGCAGGCGATACAATATGAGCCCTAATACTACTACCTAAATGAGATTTTTTTTCATGAGATAGCACTAGCATTTTAAATAACTGTTCAATGCATCTGAGTAGCTGGTGGTGTTATTATATTGGCTTATAAGATTTCTGTTATGGGAATAGCTCTTGGGTATTGCAGCTGTTTCTGATAAGGGCCATTGGCACTCTTAGTGCTACACAGAACATATTAGTGAAGACAATTCTTGCCCTAAAGAGTAAATTTAAAGGCCTAGGCTACAAACACTCACACACTCCAGTAACCTTACTCACACAAGTTATCATATTACTGTAATTTGAATGGGACTAATCACACAAGTAAAATTAAGGCTTGTACTAGCTATACTGGTATAATAACATGGGTATAGTAGAAGAGATATACCAGTTTAACTCACTGTGTAGATACATATAAGGTACATCTACTCTGCAGGCTAAAGTCAAATTAAGCTATGCAACTTCAGCTACGTAAACTGCATAGATGAAGATGAAGCACCTTAACTCGGCTTTTGGCATTGTCTGCACTGCAGGGAGTTGAAGGATGAACACTCTTCCTTTGACTTCCCTTACTCCTCATGAAATGAGGGTTATAGGAGTCAGAGTAAGAAGTCCATTATTTCAAAAAAATTTCAAAATAACAGGCTTTCTGTTTAGATGTGCATTCTGTTATTTCGAAATAACACTGCTGTGTAGACAGGCCTGCCTTCTGGAATAAGAGTGTCTTTTTTCAGTTTATCTCAAATCCCTTCCAAAATGACATAAGATAAACTGGAAATGGGCATTTTTGTTCTAGAATAAGAATGTTCACCTGGGGAGTTATACTGGTGTAACTACATCCGTTTAAATTCACAACTAGGGATGTTAAATTTTGATTAATTAACTTATTGAATAGTCGATGCAATTTGTATTGACTATTTGATTAGTCGATAGGGCACCTCTGCCTTTGAGGTATAGCAACAGCCCCAGGGCTGTTGCTATACTTCAAAGGCAAAAGCTCTGCGGGGAGCATGGCGCTAGCGGAGCAGTCCGCCACTGGCCCCATGCTCCCCACGGCATTTTAAAGCGGCAAAGTCCCATGGAGCCTGGGGTCAGCCCACTGTTGCTTTGAAACGTTGCATGCAGCCTGGAGGTACCCCCGCTGGCTCCAGGCTGCATGCGGTATTTCAAAGCAGCAGTGCCAAATGAAGCCTGGGGCCTGGGGCCAGGCTTCATGTGGCACTACCGCTTTGAAGCATTCCCCTCCACTTCCCTCTCCCCCCTTGCTGCCTTTTTCTGATAGAGGCAGCAAGTGCGGGGGGAGGGGGAAGCAACTAGTCGACTAGTCATTCACAAACCTATTCACAACTGCTATAACTTATATGAGTAGACAAAAGTCTTGCTTTCTTTTTTCAGGGATGTGTCAGAAAAATCTGAAGTTATCCTTTCCAGCGGTTGTGTTATACCGCGATTTCTTGTACAAAATTCCACTTGGAAAGAAATGAAAAATTTTAGTTAAGAACTGATGGCATGATGTAGCCTTATGTGCCCATCTCAACATTTAGGCAACAACTTGCTTTCTAAAAAGCATTATTTTTTGTCATGTTCAGTAAGATCTTTATGCATGAAATGAAATCCATTGCTATGGAGAGTAGGAGCAGACATTTGACATCTGAAAGCTGGCTCATAATAAAGCTGTATTCTTTTTATCATTATCTAATGGAAGATCTCTCTTTTTTTAAAAACAGATAGTCTGGCTGGAAGATACGCTGTCAGCAGTGCAGAGACCAAAAATAAGCAGTAAAAAGAAAGAAAAAAAGAAAAATGTGATCCAAGCAGAAAACTTTCAGACTTCAGAAATTGAGACTACGCAGTTACCTGACAAACAAAAACAAGAAATCGTTCATTATCAGGAGTTTTCCAGGTAACTTATTAGCTTTTATAGAATAAAGACTGGTTTTTGCTAATACGTTTCTGAACAAATCTCATTTATCTAATGCATGTTATCCCCACTGGACTTGTCTGTGTTAGAGTCACAAACATGTTGGGGGAGCCAGTAACAATGTGACTCTGTCATTATCACATTATAAAACAACTGAATTTGTCAACACAGACAAAGCCAAACAGATTCCTAAACATGTTTAACACACAACTGTGCTGTATTTATAGTGGAGAGAAAGCCAATGACACTGTGTCCACTGTATTACTTTAATGGTTGATGTCCTATATTCTATCTAAACACGTGTGATTGAAACATTCAGCTAACTTTCAATCCTGTTTCCTTTGAATATTAGTTCAGTTACAAGGGAATACATGCTGACAAAAATGGGATTTATGGTCGTTTGGTGCAGATTTTAATCAGAGCTGCAACAAACTCAGTAGAAATCCACTTCTAGAATCCCTTCACTCAGTTTCTCCAAGCTTTCTATGCATTAACCAACATTCTAATACCTTTCATGATAAAATAAATTAAAAAATGAAAACAAAGCACATGGTAATAGTATGTGGCTATATTCTCACTTCAGTCTAATAGGATTTGTGCACCTTCATCACCTATCAAGATATTGCTTTTCAGAAATAATTTAAAAACACTGCTAGTTTTTTGTGTCAGGGCTAAATTTTTTAAAGCAGCCTCTAAAAATGTGCCAGAACATTTTGTATACATAAAACATGGATTTGAATGTGTATTCGAGGCTTTGCATATCCTGAAGATGATTTACACAAAATTACAGGGGAATTGGTTAAAGCCAAAGCCTCTGAAAATTTGGCTCTCCGAACTTATTTTTTTTTTTTTTTACTTTTCAGGCTTAGCTACAGTGATTCCAGTGTTTACCTCAAAAATAGGATTCCTAACTCCACTGAAAAGGTTAGTATGTGGAAATATTTAGTCTCTTCCATTAGTTACTTCTAATTATTGCCTAAAATCACAAGCCTCATAAGTGGCAGAATACTATTTTTAAAAAGTAATTATATGTGATTGCTAAAAGTCAACCAAGTATAAACCTGTTGATTTAACAAAAGGCATAGAATTTCTCGTTTAAGCACTAAGACGTTAGGAATAAATAAAAGCTTTAAAAGAAAATGTAGGCAATTTTTAATCAAACCTTGTGTCATTAAGTACAGTAATTCCTCATTTAACACTATAGATATGTTTCAGAAAATGATCGTGTTAAATGAAAACGTGTTATGCGGGGTCAATTTTCCCATTGAAAATAATGGAAAAGGTGGGGGTTGCGTTTCAAGTGGTGGTGTCTGTTTGGACCGGGACACAAGGTTGGGGGAGAAAGGGGACTGGGTTACAGCAGGGAGGGGAGGTGTTTGGCTTTGGGAAAGGGAAGGGAAGGAGAGGATAGGCGGATTGGGTTGGGAGTATGTCCCTGTGACGGATCTGCCGGGACCCGCACTGCGTCCGGCGATGGGGGGGTCGCCAGGGAACGGTGTGGGGAGCAGTGAACCTGCCGCCACTTTTCAGGGAGACGGGGGAAGCCCCGTGCAGCCTCCGGTGACCGGTGGTGATGGGCTGGCTGGGGGCCCCCAGCCGTCAGCCTGCAAGCGGGGGCGAAGGAGGGGGGCAAGTCGTCTGGCGAGAGGGAGTCAGCAAGGAACGGCGTGGCAAGTGGCGAACCCTCCGCCGCTTTGCAGGGAGGTGGAGGAAGCCCTGCGCAGCCACCAGCAGTGGGCCAGATGGGGAAATCGTGTTATTCCGGGGACGGTCATGTAATTCAAAAAACGTTACCTAATAAAAAAAATCGTGCTATCGCAAAAATGTGTTAAGTGGGCACGTGTTAAATGAGGAATTACTGTATACCCACCAAGGAATATCTAATCACACAATTATAATTTTGGGACTACACTGTAATTTCAATATTTCTGTAGCAATTAGTGACTCTTCACTTCATTGAGGCTGTCATTCTTTGCATAGTGAGTTTTCTTTAAGTCTTCATTGATGCTTTCTGCTTTCAGTAAATAGCAAGGAACATGATGTTTGCTCTGTATTTTATGTGCCTACCAACACCTCATTTATGGCCCATCCTACAAAATAATGAGCATTTCAAAAGTACCTCATAGGACTGGGCTTATTCCCTCAAACCTACACTTTTTGTTGCATCATGTCATTTCACTAAGGGTATGTCTACACAGCCGTTATTTCAAAATAACTTTACTAGCGTCTACACAGCCAAACCGCTATTTCGAAATTAATTCAAAATAGCAGAGCGCTTATTTCGAATTTGGTAAACCTCATTCCATGAGGAATAACGCCAAATTTGAAATAGCTATTTTGAAATAAGTGCTGTGTAGACACTCATATCAAAACAGGGGGCTCCAGCCTTCCCTGGGTGCCCTGGTGGCCATTCCAGCCTCAACCAAGAACACTCCTCTCCCTCCCCGCTCCCTGGAGCCCTTAAAGGGGTTGACTCTGGCCATAGTGCCTGTGCCAGCTCTAAGCCTGCCAGCCCAGAGCCAGCAGTCACTGCCCCGACCCAGTGGCCCTAAAACATGAGCCGGCAAGCCACTGGCAGCCAGCTCTCCACCGCTCCCCAGGAGCAGTCTGTCAGCTCTCAGGAGCCTGCCAGAGCCCAGAGAAGGTGGGCACCTTCCTGGTCCAGGGTGGAGATCATGGACCTTATTCAGGTTTGAGGGGGATGCCCCCAATGTCCATGATCTCCACATTAGATGGAGGAATGCGGTCATCTATGGCAGGATAGCTGCCAGCCTGGCCACCAATGGCCACATGTGAACCTGGGAGCAGGGTTTGCATGAAAATCAAGTTGGTCCGGTGAGACCCCCAATTATGAGCCCTGAGCTTCCCCTCCCCCTTCTTCCCCTTGCTTCCCCTTCCAGCTCCTTCCTCCCAGGTTTCCTCCTCCCCTCTCCCATCCTCTCCCGCCTCCTTTCCCTAGTCTCACCAGAGTTTCATCCCCCCCCCCAGTTTTGTTAAATAAAGAGAGTTTGTGTTCATGAAAATATCTGTATTTTATTTGACATCAGGAAGGGGGGTTAGGGAGGGGTAAGTGGAAGGACCAGAGGGAGGAATGAAGCACAGGCCCCCAGTGGGGCAGACCAGGGACGCTCTTAGTGCTCCTCAGGGTGGAAGCTCTCCTGCAGGGCCTCCTGGATACTGACAGCCCCCGATGGACCTCCCGGATGGCAGCCTGCAGAAAGTTCAGCCAGGCTCTGAGCAACCGGGGCTGCTCTGGCTTCATAGTGCCAAGTGCTGTGGTGTCCCGAGTGAGGGCAACCAGAGCATGCAGAGACAAAATGCTTTGCTGTCCCTCATGGAGGCAGGCAAACAAGCAGGGAAAGCTGAGAACTGGCTGCCCGGGAGTATCTCTTTAAACACAGGCCTCAGCCTCAGGCAGCAGCCACACAAAGTAACTCCTGACCTGATGCCCTGCTGGACCTGGTTCCGGACGGCCTTAAATGTGATTCAGCGTCCATTCAGTGTGGACGTGCTATTTCAAAATACCAAAACCCTATGGATATGTCTACGCTACCACCCTAGTTCGAACTAGGGTGGTTAATGCAGTCATACGAACTTGCAAATGAAGCCCGGGATTTGAATTTCCCAGGCTTCATTTGCATGTTGCCGGGCACCACCATTTTTAAATGTCCGCTAGTGTGGACTCCGTGCCCGCGGCTACACGCGGCATGAACTAGATAGTTCGGACTAGGCTTCCTATTCTGAACTATCTGTACACCTCTTGGAACAAGGTGTACAGATAGTTCGGAATAGGAAGCCTAATCCGAACTATCTAGTTCGTGCCGCGTGTTGCCACGGGCACGGAGTCCGCACTAGCGGCCATTTAAAAATGGCGGCGCCCGGCAACATGCAAATGAAGCCCGGGAAATTCAAACCCCGGGCTTCATTTGCAAGTTCGTATGACTACATTAACCACCCTAGTTTGAACTAGGGTGGTAGTGTAGACATACCCTATTTCAGAATGCATTTTGGGTGTAGATGTGTTATTTCAAAATAACTTATTTCTAATTAACTATTTCAAAATAAGATATTTTGAAATAACGCTGTAGTGTAGACATACCCTAACAGCTCAGTCCCACACCACTGAAATTAACAGCACAATAGAACAGTTTGTCTTGTTCTCTCAAGAGGTGCTCATTACTTCACCGGGCTAGGTTCTAGGTTGATCTAATGTAGCACAGGAAGGCAATAGGTGATGTTTTAATCACATTACATCATCTTGGACTGGATCTCTGGCTCTCCCAAACACAAGGTGAAATCCTGACCTCCCTAAAGTCAACAGGAATTTTGCCATTGATTTCAGTGGAGGCAAGATGCAATGAAGAAATGTCATTCATAGAGCTCAACTACTCGTAGTGTATGCAAGCAAAGAGAATTTCACCCACTTTGAATAAAAAAATATTGAAAGCAACTATGTCTGTGGCTGTTTGTATTTTACTATTGATACGAGCTAGGTATTGAATGCAAGATCTCATGGTGTACATATCTTCTGTCTTTGTCACTGTCTTTAATGCTTGTTTAAGAGCAATTTGACTAATTTTTTTAACTGTATTTTTGTTTATAAATGTGTAATTTTAGGAACACGTTAGCGATAACAAACAGAAGAACACAGACATGGGTGAAAGCACAAATCTGTTAATTATCAGGTGGGTGGTGTCTTTTTCATGACATCCAAGACTTCTAAAATCTTCTACAGGTGTTCCAAAGGGAGATTCAGAACTATTTTGTGGTGGTTGAGACTGAGGTATATATTTCAGAAAAAGATAGCCACTGGCATTGAATAGGATTCAGCACAGCTGCTCAGGCCTGACTGTAGTACAACATTGGGTAGGTATAGATCGAAAGTGGCAGATTGTGAGCCTTGGCTAGATCTTCTTTGCACAGAGCTACATTAATTGGGCATCTGAGGATTCCCCCAGGAGCCAACAACATGCCACACTTGGTGGAGGGGACATTCCAGGGCAAAGAAAGAATGGGAGAGGGTGAGATTAGAATGTGATGTGCTCCAATGATTGTGGGCCAGTGGCCCTGACAGACTGTTCCAGTCACTGCATGGCCTTATCTATACTAGACTTTTTTGAAGGAATGTAGCAACTGTGTAGGTAAGGCCTGTACTCATTGATTTGAGTGGAGCCAGGATTTGGGTCATCATTTAGTGGTTACCAGTGTTCCCTCTAAGCTGCACAGCAGTACAGCTGCACAGGTAATTAATCAGCCCTGTCCAGTCAGAGGCTCAGAGCTCCTCTGGTGGTCACGGGAGTTAATTACAGAAAACATGCAAAAAATACTATTGGAAACAACAATAGTGTCCAGTTCCCACATGATTGATAGTGCCTTATCTTCTGAAAACACTATGACTGCTTGCAAAACTCTTTTTTAAAAAGTGTCATGGGCCCAACCTGAGAAAATGGAGTCCCTTTAAGATACATCAAGTTGGATACCCAAAATCAGTAACAATCTCTGGAAATCTTTGCTTTATTTTCAGAGAAAACCCCATATTTGAACATTACCCAATATTCATAGATGTTTACAGTTAAAAATAAAGGGGCAGGATTGTAACTGATGTAAATTGGCCTAACTCCACTGACTTCAACAAGAGCTGCATTGCTTGATGAGAGCCGAGACTCTGCCAATAGTTGTCTGAGGCTTAACAGAGCTCCTAAGGACTGCTACTGCACAGCCCCCTTGTATGCCTTACAGTTCTGACTCACTGTCTAGATAGCTGGACTGTAAGGCGCTCAAAACAAGCTACAAAATTTGAGCTACACAAATTGTGTATCTTAGTTCAATCTTATTTCAAAATAACTTTTTTTGAAGTTTGGTGCTGTCTACACAGCACATATTTTGAAATAAATCACTATTCTGAAACGTCCCTTACTCCTCCTGGAATTAGGTTTACAGGGACATCAGATTAGCAAGCCAGTTATATTTTGAAATAACAGGTATGCTCAAAAGACACAGAATAGCCATTAGTGTTGATGTAGCCTAAGCGGTTAATTGAACTACTATTCCAATATACTTCAGGGGGTAGCCAAGTTAGTCTGTACAGAAAAAAACAACAAATGGTCTGGTAGCACTTTATAGACTAAGACGACATATAGATGGTATCATGAGCTTTTGTGGGCACAGCCCACTTCTTCGGATCATCTAAAGAAGATTTGGTCATCTGAAGAAGTGGGCTGTGCCCACGAATGCTCATGATATCATCTACATGTTTTCTTAGTCTATAAAGTGCTATCAGACCATTTGTTGTTTTAGTCCAATATAGTTCTGCGTGTCTCTGTCAACAACCTGAGTCAGTCCACTGCACATTTACAGCTGTTTTCCTCTCCCAAACCCACCTCCCTCTCATCTATTTTTGCAGGAAGAAAAAAGACTTGGAGGCACCAGAGAATGCCATTCCACCTCCTGAACCTCCATGTGTAGAGCAACCTGAATTATTTTACTTCATTGTTTTCCTCTGGGTGCTGGTCTACTGCCTGTTACTCCTTCCACATCTTGTTAGCAACAAACTTTGATCTCTGTGAGTGTGGGAATAATAAAAGATAGTGGCTTGATTTTTTTTCATGTGTGCTCCTATAAAGTGGTTCCTTCAGGTGAAGCACAGAGAAATATAGGGCATAATTAAGCTGATAAAAAGATTAGTCTTAACTTCTTTACTGTTGTGCTATTTATAATATCATGGCACATTTTATATTGTGACAATGTGTAGATATGTATATATATTATAATATATGAAAATTGAAAGATTTAATATACACAATTTATGTACATGTGTGCCTTGCTTTATAAAATGCTAAATAAAATTGATTGTTAGTAGAAACACAGATAATATAAATAGAGCTCCCCTCTTCAAAAATGGTTCTTCAAATAGTTCTTCTGGGAGCATTTTTTTTACCTGTGGCCATGTAAGGTTTGGAAGAAGAGTAATGCATGATTTCTGTGTCAAAGCACATGGGCAGGGCTTGAAATGAGCTCTTTTCTGGTTTTCCACTGGAAATACTTTGGTAGAAGAAGCTTAACTTTCCTCCATCATGTGTTTTGTTTTCAGTTGAAAGGACTTTTCAAACACATGGGACCAGATGCTGATCTCAGTTTCACCTGTAGCTTCATTGACTTCAGTGGAATTGCATCAGAATTGCACCAGTGTCACTGAGATGAGAATTTGGCTCATACTGTTGCTGTATCTTGGCAGAGGGATAGCAAATATATCAAGATTTATATTTAATAAAAACCTAAAATGTTACTAAAACAAGACACTCTATTGCACACACTTCTCCCTCTGAGGATAGAATGAGAGAACAAACAGTACATGACAAATGTGTAGTCATGCATTACTGGAAGGCACTCAGAAACTATGGTGATGAGTGAGGAATAAGAATCTGTATACACAGAAAATGTTCCCAGATCAGGAATGAAGCTGAAGGAAGAAGCTAATGCATTTCCACTAGCTGAGCACCAGGAAACATTATTCTGAGCTTTGATTCAGATGAAGTGATGATTATGAAGTTTGTCTTTTCTGCAAGTTTTTATTTGAATTCATATTTATTGCTGTCCTTGCATCTTTGAATACAGGCAGTCCCCGGGTTACGTACAAGATAGGGACTGTAGGTTTGTTCTTAAGTTGAATTTGTATGTAAGTTGGAACTGGTACATATTGCAGGGGAAACTCTGGCCAAACATTTCTCCAGAGCTCAATTTTATTCTCCCACACCTCACTTCCCTCAGTCCTTTATTCTCAAGCTGAGGTGTCTGCTGAGAAAAGCCGCTCCGCGTCTCCCTGGTCTGCTGGGGGGAAGCAGCTAGTGCGGGGTTGCCTCACCCCGTTGGTAAATAGGGATCCGATGTAAGTCGGATCCATGTAACCCGGGGACTGCCTGTACTGTACCCTCAATGTTAGCAAATGTGCTGTGGAAAAAGAGAAAGATAAAGGTAGCTGCTTGCCTGAAGAGATTTAAAGGAAGGAAAGGAAGAACCTGCTATAGAGACTTTGATAGAGGATACTTCAGGAAATGCTGACATTTCTTCTTTTTATACACTACTGACAGAGGCCCCTCTCTAAAATACCTTTCAAGGAGCTCTTGCTATAATAAATGATTAATTAGTCATTCCAAAGCAGATTTTTACAGAAGGAAAACACCACTTTGATTCTCATGATTTATCTACTTCCTTGTCCTTTATCAGTGAGCTTCTGGATCTGCTGCATCAGTGAATTGCACTTACTTCATCATATGAAGACTCTGCGGTTGAAGATACCAACAATAGTAAAAAGCCTAGCGTGTCACCTGCTGAGGTGGAGGTGCAACATAGTAGGATTAAAAGCACTGAGATCACAGAAGGAAGAAATGGCTACTGGTGGAAAAAGTTCCAGAATGTCAGCATCCTATATTTCTTCTGTTCTCTGAAAATTTTGAATACAAATGAAGGAACTCCAATAGCTAGACAAATAGCAAAAATCCTGTCTTGCATTTGGTCTTATTCTTTTGATAAAAAATTTAACTTAGAAATGGGACAGTAAAAGTGTGAAGACAGCAGTGATTTCTACATAGCTTACACTGAGCTTTTAGAATGGGAATAAGGTATTAGCATTGGTTCACCCACTTGACAGTAGCAATAACTTCTACCCATAATATTTCTGGTGTAGTCGTCTTCCACCTCAGGCACATTTTGACTTCACTGTGCCTTCCTAAAGACATGTAATGTTGCTGGTTCAATTGGACCATCATTCATCACACCTCAAAGTGCCTCAGAAAAAGAGAGGTGTTTCATGAACTTGCACTCAACTTTGTTAGAATAAAAAGTATTTATAATAAGAGACTGTATGTTTGATTCCCTTTCAGCATGCTATTTTTAGAGCTCATCTTAAATACAACCTTTTTGGGGATAGGACTTATATATGTATCTGAATGTTAAGCAATTCATTTGCACGTGATTTGAAGTTGTTAGAGTTGCTATGTGCTGAGTATTTCCTTAGTTGCCTGCTGTATTAAATTATTGTATAGGTTCTCGTTATTACTAAAGCCCTGCACTGATACAAAAATGTGGATCTGCATTTGATCCACATCCGCAAGGCTTAACTCATCATCTGATCTGTAATATACAATTTGGATTTTACTTCCATCTGCATTCGCACAGCATGCTACCTGGAGGGGAGCCCAGATGAGTGAGGAGGGGAAAAGTCATGCAAGGAAGAGGAAGGCAGCATAAAAGCAGGGACTTGAGGGTAAGGGGAAGCAGGGACCTGGCCCAGAGTTCTACAGTTCAATGTTCACCAGACAGGGGACTAGGCAGGGTTGGCACTCAGCCCCTCCTGCAGAGAGATTTAGGATGGAGCTTGTTTGCATCCTTTTAGCTGGATGAAGGGCGGTGGGAGAGATGGGGAGGGGGAGCAGAGCCCTGCACTGGTATCTGCTCCACTATCCATGTATTGCCATGAATATACAGGGCTCCAGTTATTAGCTTGTTATTACCTCTCATTTTGGAGGTGCAATTAGGGTTAGAGTATAGTGCTGCACAGGATGATAATTTAACACTAGGGATGAAGTCCTGGCCCATTTAAGTCAATAAGAATATTGCCATTGATAACACCAAAGCCAAGATTTCACAGTTGGGCTCTTTCCAGCTGTCTGCTATAAGGATCTTACATCAGCCAACATCAGCAGGAGTAGAGAGGGGTCTATGCCATACACTTGAGAAGCAGATTCAGATCTGGACTTCACCCAAGGCTTGAATGGAAGTTGGTCCCCAGGTTTTGGTTCAGGCCTATCTGTAGAAGAGAGATGAAAGAATTGAGAAAAATGCCTGTATAACTGGCACTTCCCTGGTTTCTGGAAAACGCTGGGTGATCATGAATTAAGTGTCACAGCTCTCTCTTTAAAAAGAAAAAAGTACCACAAACCAGACATTGAGCAGATCTAACAACTGGACAGTAGCTGATTTTTGTGTTGTCGCACCATTATGGCAGCTGGGCCAAGTTATTCATCATCTGTGTAGTCTCCCTATACAGCCAATCTAATTGTTGGATGCAATTTAACTGTAGTGTAAGTGCAGTTGATTGGTTAAGTTTTCTCTGATATCATAATGAACTAGGACCAGGCCACTAATTGTGGCGGCATCCTGAGCCCTGGGACCTTCAAATAGCCACTAGAGCGCCACACGGCGTACTCTGGACTGCTGGGAGCACAGAGCCAGCCCCTCACATCTTGCCCAGGGACCCACGAGGCTCTTGGCTCCCCTGACTAGACTCTTGGCATGGCATTGATACATGTCTTACTGTAGCTGTATTCTTTGCAAATGTAATTTGTGAAGTCAAAATGACGGAGTACTTAAAATAAGACAGTAAAAAGAGACCATAAATCCCAGTGATGGTTGAACCTGGTGATATCCTGAACAAGAAAACTAGTCATGCTTGCAGCTGTTTTCATCTCTTCGCACTGACTGAGACATTTTAGGTATCAGTGACACACAATGAAAATTCTGGACTCTTTTTCATATGTAGATAAATATTGGGTTGAACTACAGGTTGAATTTCTCTAGTCTGGCACTCTCTGATCCAGCAACATCTATGGTCTGGCATGATTTTAGTTAGCTGGATGTCCATTTATCATGGGTGTGGCCAAGTTTCTCGTGATACCATAAAGGTTGTTTACAGCCACCAGTCCTGGCTCTCAGTTTTCCATGCTGTTATTTAGCTCTAATTTACCCCTAAATGGCTTCTAAGAGCCTACTAAGCAGTGGAAATGTTGGTAATGCTGCTAGACAATATCGACCTCCCACGGCTCAGCAAATTCTCTGGTTCAGCACTGGTAAGGCCCCAAGGGTGCCGGACTAGAGACGTTCAACTTGTAGTGCCTTTTCTTGCAGAGGATCTCTTTGAAAAACATAATATGAGAATCACTTCACCCACTTCTGCAATGCAGCCAACTCTGAGGTAGAGCAAGACAGCTTTTAATATGGTAAATTAAGAGCAATAGACTTCACATCTCTGTAACATTTGGTTAATGCTAAAGGGAGCTTCCTTCTGTTCATGACAAATTCTTCAATAGATTATTTTATCCTGCTCTTTCTGGTTCTTGCAACACTCTTGAGCTTCCAAGAGAAATCACTTGGAACTTGGATATATTATCCTCTTTCCCAAATATTCAAAAAGCTGGCATTGTTACAGCAAAGAAACCAAATATCCTCTTCCTCCACCCACCAAAGGAACCTGATTTCACCTAAAGGAGCTCATTAGATGTCTCAGGGAAATAAAGTCATCCATAAAGATCATTATGATTACTCAAACTATGTAACACAGCTTGATGCCAGTAGTGTCTGTGAGAGCCTTCCAAAAAGATCTCTTTTACATGGCCACGAGGACAGCTATATTATTTTCCATTCCAGATCATGCAGATTAAACCTCACATAATCTGCAGCTGTTGTCCTAAACATCATGCAGTTAATAAGAGATTATTCAGATTAAACCTAATGCTACCAAATCTATCTCATGAACAGGAGTGGGGACAGGAGGGGATTATGAGCAGACATTTATCAGGGATGATCTAGATGGTGCTTGGTGCTGCCATGAGGGCAAGGATCTGGACTTGATCTCTCAAGATCCCTTCCATTTCTAGTGTTTTATGATGCTATGTCCCTTTGTATTAAAAGGCTGTGTACAGTCCTCATGGACTGTTGTATTGAGCTGCCTCATTATCCAGCTGTTAAATAAGGGGAGTGAGAGTAAAGAACAAAGGGTGGGTTTTACTGGTGTGATGGACCTCTGATAAACTCCTTAAGGAACTCCTTAGCTGACCTATCAGTACTCCTCTTTCAAGGAAACCTGCACAACAACTGAGACCTTCAATTTATAACTTTGCTGGACACTAAATATCACGGTCTTAATAAAGACACTGGCTTTATGGCTTAGAACAATCTCTAACCTACTAATCCCCCTTTTTGTGCTAAAACTAAAGGGGTGCTAATGGGACAAGTCAGCTTGCATGGTCCTTTGCGCTATGTGCTAACTACTTATGCTAAACTATCTGTTCAGTCTTGCGTTTAGCAGTGACACTCTGAGTACCTTTCCCATACCTGGGGAAGAGCTCTGTGCAGCTCAAAAGCGAACCTCTCTCACCAACAGAAGTTGGTCCAATAAAGGAAATGACCCCCAACGACTTTGTCTCCTCTTAGGGAACACTCAATCTATTGGAATTCTCAGCACAAATTGCACCCTTTTAAGCATTCAAGTCCCATTCACTACAGTGCTATGCATTTAGGGCTCAATCCTGCTCCTATTAAAGAACATGAAAAAACTCCCACTGCTTTCAGTAATGCAGGATCAGGCCCTTCATTCCACATGCAGCATACTGAAAATGGATAAACGCATTTTACTTGCCATCAAACTTTGCGTACACTATTAGTAAGTTGCAGCCTGAGAGCCTGATCCTGAAGTCTTAATCCCCCGCCCCTTATAAGTTATTAAGAGTGTTGCATAAAGAATGCAGGGCTAGCTCAGGATTATCTGATGTTTTAAGAGTTTGTGGGCAATGTCAGCAGCCGTAGGAATGTAGCTTGGCAGAAATGAGATGGGTGATTAGGATTGGGATTCTTCAATTCTGTTCCTAGCTGTGTATCATTGTTCTAGCCATTG